TCAAAAACTAGCTTCAGTTCATTTTTTTTTTTTTTTTTTTTTTGGTACATGCTTGCATGTGCAAGTACCACATATTTATTACCTCTCAAAGGCCTCATTCACACAGGGCGTTTTGCCCCCATACAGTATGAAGGGCTGATTTTGATGCATCCAGAGCTGCAGGAAAAAGCTTGTTGGCAGTTCATGTAACTCTATGGAGATACATATACACGTCTTAAACAGTTTGAGCCATGTTGTCTGCCAAAACGTGTACCGACTCCCCCCTCAACAGGCAGTTGTCCAGACACCCCACAATGGGAATGCCCTAGAGGTGTAAAATGGTAAGCACAGGGGCCAACACCTTTGTGTCGAGGTGCAGAACATAGGCCAAAACGGTAGGGCGACAAACTGGAAGCGCGGATTACCCACAGCACAGTGAAGGAGCTGCTGAAGCAGTGAAAAAATGGGGACAAGCAATTATCCATCGTTGATGTTCAAAGAGAACAGAAAGTCTCCAAAATGGAGAGTCCATCACAGAGCTGGTGGAATTCATGTGGAATTTCTGAGTGAAGACATTTAGGGTCTTGCGATTCAAGATGAGGTGGACCCCCCCTTTTCGGGATCAGTGAACAGGTTGGAGTAGAACCCCTGGAACTGTTTCACCGTAGTACTGAGGGTGACGACCCCTTCTTTCACAAGACCTGAAAGTCCTGCATGGACATCTGCTGATCTGTGCAGTCACACAGGCAGATTGGAAGACGTGAAACGAGGAGGGGGCAAAAAGTGGAATTCTAGCCTGTAGCTCCTGGAAACCACAGTCCTTACCATTTTCTTGGCCTCCAAGGAGGAATGAGCCTTCCCAAGATTCTGTTGGGGCAAATGGGTGCTTTTGTCCCTGGTGACATTCTTGAGGAGGGTGTCAGGGGCCTCTCTGAAGATACACTGTTTCTCAAAGAGCATAGAAAGGTATCATGGCACACTCACAAACCAGCATGTAAAAAAACTTGTCTCACCACTAAGGTTAATAACAGAGGTTTGGATACATGTCTTCTGCAGAAAATGTGAAAGCCGCACAGCCGCGCCAAGGCACCTCTTATAGTGCGGTCCTAACTCTAAACTGTGGCTGTGCGGCTTTCCTATTTTCTGCAGAAGACGTGTATCCAAACCTCTGTTATTAACCTTAGTGGTGAGACAAGTTTTTTTACATGCTGGCTTGTGAGTGTGCCATGATACCTTTCTACTGTTTACTGTTCAAAGCCCATTTCGTGTGCACCTTACTGTACAGCTGGTGACAAATTGTTCAGTGCGTTTGTCATTTGTTTTGCTTGACTGATTTGGTGCAGTGATGCATGGGGATTCTCAGCTGCCATTGGGATGTGCGGGATCCCTTGTGTGTTCCTGTGCCTTTAAGGGAGGTCGGGCTTCCTCCTGACAAACCTGCACCCAATTTGAAATCTTCTGCCCCCATGTGCTCCAAGATGGAGACTCTCATAGTTTAGAGTTAGGACCGCACTATAAGAGGTGCCTTGGCGCGGCTGTGCGGCTTTCACATTTTCTGCAGAAGACGTGTATCCAAACCTGTTATTAACCTTAGTGGCGAGACAAGTTTTTTTACATGCTGGCTTGCAAGTGTGCCATGATTCCTTTCTACTGAAAAGGGAAAAGCTCTTCTCATGGCCTCAGCTCAATCAGTTAGAGTTATAGTGTCACTGCTGGGGCAAGTAGAGAAGCAGAACCTGCCAGAGAGAACTAGATGTTAGACAGGGAATAGAAAGACTTGTCAATGGGGCCCTTGAAAACAATTGCATTCTGCACAAGCAGAAAGCTATGTGAAGATGGAATACTGCCAACTCCACAGCGGGAGAAGTCTACTCTTTAGTTCTCCACAATCCGGTACAAGACTGATAGTCGCTTAGGAAGGGTGAACACCTCAGGGTTATTCCAGTCTCCATAAAGGACAAAAGGTAAACACAGGGTGCACCGGAAAGGTCTTGTGGATCCTAAACAAAGCCTAATGTAGGAACAGGTACAGTATTTAGACTACCCTGCACACCAAAAGGCAAATGCAGCAACCTTCAGATTGCTTGCTGCTAAAATTCTCTTTCTTTCTTGACAAGCTGAAAGCAATTTACTTGAACATGTAAAGCCTTCCTGAGTGATTAGAGTTATAAATGATTTCCGAGCACTACTCCTTGGCACAAATGGGAAATGGGGGTATGGAAAGGATTTTATTATACAGGAGGCTGTATAGTTGGAGAATAAGACCAGTCCATTTTAAATACACTGAACTACAGAAAACAGCCATGTACGTATACACACACACACAAATAAATGGCTTCTTACATCTACCAGGAGGTCTCGATCTATGCTGAACTGACGTCCTGACAATAATGCTTTGAAATCTTCTAAAGTGCAGTCAATGCTGTCTAAATAATCCAAAAGCTCAACTCTGCAAAGAAAGTGAAAACAAAGATAAAGCCATGTACATGTTTTTCCATAGTAGACAAACAATAAAGAGCACACTAAATCATATATCCTACTAACTTTCCAAGGAGATTAATATTTTGAGAAATTACACCACTCTCATTAAGAATGGAATCCATCATGGTTACAGGGTCTTCAAACGAAAGCGAGGACTGGTTATTAAGTTGAAGTGGACCAGACATCAGTGGGCTTGAGACATCTTCTCGGACCGGGCTCAGTGCACCAATCACTCCTGCACTTCTATCTTCTGGAAGAATGGAGGCATCGTCATCCTCAAAATCGTCCTCCACTATTACAATTTCAGGTGAAAGCCGGTCACTGGGGAGAAAAAAAAAAACACCTGCATAAAGATTTAGTTCTAGATTTAGTTAGATAAAAAAAATTAAAATAAAGTAACATTCCTTAAGTTAAAATCAAATACACAAATGCAGTGTTACAAAGTTTAATCAGAATAAAACTGCATGCACAATATTTTGCAATTGCACTGTACTGGAATGCTCAGCATTGCAGTACCGTGCATTCCAGTGTGGGCGATAGCACTGTGGGTGTGAGGCGCGTTTGGGGTGCCATTGAAATGAATGGCACTGCAACGCATCTCCCGCAGCAGGATTTGTCAGGCTGAAACCAAAATTTACTTTTCCCACCTTTTATTTTTTAATAATTGTATTGTAAGCACATGGCGCTTGAATAGCTTCAGCCAGGGAATGACAGCTGCCAGTGGCAAGATTCCACAAACGGCAACTGAATGTAAATACAGCAGGTAGTGCAATAGCCAGCCTGTTATTGGTCATTTCAAATTGCAATAGCAGGATGGCTGTTGCACCCCGCCCACTGCTTGCTGTGCCCTCCTCCCAGCATGGAGGAGAAAGCTAGGTGATCCAACTAATCGATAATGAGAATAGTTGACAACTATTCCCATTGACGATCGATTAGTTGGTTGCAGCCCTAAAGCGCACAATTATCTAAAATGTCTTTGAATGCCATTACCAGTACTCTTCACTGGAAACACCTGAACTTAATACTTTGAGGGAAGTCCATATACCTTTAGCTATATAGTGTATTTTATATTCTATATTCTGCAGAATGTCAACACCTTAAGTACTATTGAGCTCAAGCTGGCTTATAGTATTACACTTAAATGGAAGTGGGGGTTTCTCACAGCATACACCTCCCCAAAGCCTGCTCACATCCTTAGACTATCTTTATCACAACTTTGAGTACCCCAAAATATCTAGTTGTTCTAATGTTTCATCCTACGGACCTACCTGTTGGCCATCAAATGCGACAGGCTGACCCCACTGTTGGCAGCAAAACGGGGAGGAGGCAGGCCAGAAACACTATCATAGCTACTTATGCCCTAGGTTATCAAAATCCTGGGGCACAGATTAGACCTAAAAATGTGAGCAGGACTTGAAGCAGAATTGGGAAAAAGCCATCCATTATTTCATTTAAAATGCACATGTATCAATGCACGATTTAAAATTTTTCAGAGTTGAAACACAAAGCAAATTTTCACTTACTTCAATGTGTCAGCAGAATGATCTGAACTTTCTGGTGTAAGTACATTTCTCTCCTCTACTTCCTCCGTGTTTTCTGTTATATCATAAATTACTATATCATCAGAAATCTCCCCTCTGTTTAGGCCTTCTCCCCTATGGGTCTTCTGTGAAGTAATTTAGAATGTAAAGCTTAATTATTTAACTCAATGTTAAATGAGAGAACCAAAGCAAGAGAGCAAGTGAGTATGGGGGACATTTAGTAAAACTGGAGCACACAGAATATGGAGCATATTCAACTGGTTCAGTTAAAGTGATATTAAACCTTTAATATTTAAAAAAAAAAACTTTTTTAAAAAGAGAAAGCCCACACTTGCATGATTTTGAGGTTCTTGTTTAAATTTCTTATTTTGAATGTCCTTGTTGTCCAGTTGTTCGCCAAACTGCTCCCCTCTTTCTTGTGGGCGTCTCCTTCAGCTAACTGGGTGTTGAGTAGACACCTGTGCATGCGCTCTTCTGTCCTGTGACCGTGCCCGACTGTGTGCGTCTATAGACACACACACAACCTGAGGCAAGCCAGACCCACCGCTCGCTCCACCACTTAGTCTGACTGACAGCAGAAGGAGCCTATAGCTCCTCTGCCCTCAGTATCCTCCCCCAAAAGCAGGGGGTTCAGGGAACAGTGAGAGCTTTCCCAACCCGGTGGAGGTGACGAGCGACCGGAGGCAAGTAATTGGGGGACAGCGTGACACAGAAAGGTGCTGGCAATGCATAAAGGTAAAAAAAAACGTTTAGCCCTTAGTACTACTTTAAGCTTTGAAAATGAAAGCTAGAAACTGATTGGCTGTTAAATGGTAAAATCATGTGAAAAAAAAATCTGCATTGCTCATATTCAAAAGCTCACAATTTTTTTTTTAAAGATACAAGCAACATTGCTCAGGATTGAACAGGCACCAATGAAAATAATGGGATTCTTCATGTTGACTGTTGGCTTGCTTAGGGAAATGCACAACAAATTGCTCAAGTGTGAATGGGAGCGAACACACAATAACCAACAAACCCTAGATAGGGAGGTGTGAAGGTTTTGCAGTACAGACATCTTCATTGAACAAGTCACCTTAATAAACATGCCATACCACAAACAAGAGTGTTACCACTAACATAGCTCTGTTATCCAACAGAATTCAAGGAGGAGACACCTGTACAGAAAAATGAAGACTTTACAAAGACTTACATGATGCTTGTCTTCAGCGGTTTCTGTAACTATTGTCTGTAAGATGGTTGTTTTTGGAGAACTCTGTGTATTGAGGAGCAAAGGCCTATAATGGAGAGAGTTCATTAGTTGTGGTTGTCGTCTACATTGTCATCTGCATCCATCTTAAAATATAAAAGCACGCAACTTACTTTTTTCTCTTCAAACTCACTAATCGGTTATTCTGCACCAAAGTCACAATGAACTGCACAATCTGGAATTAATAAAAAGAGGAAAAATGAACACAGATTAACCTCACATTACTATTAGTCTTACATTTAACAATGGATCAGTCCTAAATCTATACTGCAATATAGAAAAAAAAAGAAAGAGGTTTGTGTGCTTTCAGTGCGTATATTGGATTTAATACATTTAGCAGAAAACCATTCTGATTTAATACTCGAGGTGAATTGTATGCAAGGTAAACCCATACTAAATATCAACACACTAAACTGCCAGCAAACAATTGTAAGATCACCCTAAAAACATGAAGCAGTGACCCCACCAGCCCTACCCCCAGTTTTTAGGTCTCAGGCACTCTTCAGAAACAAAGGTGGGAATTTATCAAAACTGGAGCAGTTGCCTCCATGGCAACCAATCAGCTTCTCTATTCAGTTTGTTCAATTAAGATTTGAAAATGAGAGAAGCTCATTTTCAGTTTACCGAGGTGATCTTTAATAGAGGTAGTTTAATATTGAAATTTTAAGATGTTCCCTACCGTGGCATGCTTATATCAATCAACATTACAATTCTACTGTGCAAATCAACATTCTTTCTGCAAATATGGTGTTAATAATTTACAAGATCAACCTCCGTCCTAGAGAATAGTTTTTGGTCTGTTTAGATGCAGTATAAAAAAAACCCCCAAAAAACAGAAGGTGCTTTTAGGTACTAGATACTATTACAAAGTAGCAATTATCAAGCAATGACTTAAAGACTGTGTTGAAGCTTCAGACACTCCTTTGTGACTGCTCGAAGTAGAAAGCAATTGAACAGGATAGAAATTCTTGTCCGATTGCTGCTGTCCCCCTTCCCCTAAGATAAATTACCAACGGACTGCAAGCAGTAAAGACACACCTACCCTCCATGTGCCTTGTACATGGCTGCTTAGGGTAAAAGCCAGCACAACAGACACAGATTACCAGATTGTATATTCTGAAACCCATATAGAGACTGTCTAAAGTGTAGAACAATATTCTCCAAATTGTTAAAGATGACCTTACCTTCCGAATAACCTGCTGCTGCTGGGAGTGTTTGCTGCGTAGATCAGTTATTTCTCTCCACAAAGCTTCATTTTCCCTGTAAATTAAAAAACAAAAATAAATGTTTCTGGATCCACAAAACAAAATGTATACACTTGTTTTAATTAAGTGTTTTTACATTATTGGATTTACCACTTTGGACGTGCACAATGCGAAAAATGCACTACTTAAGAGAACTATGGCCCAGCCTTTTTTGCCATAGTTCTCTTTAGGGTCACAGAAGGACATATACTAATGTCCGCCTGTGACCCAAAACTATGTTAATAGAGCAGAGCCGCACTGCAGCTGGAACAATATTGTCAGGATCCACCCCGCTGACTGAGTGACAGTTGGCTCTGCCTCTCTGCCCGCCCCCTCCAGTCAGCGCTGGAGGAATAGAAGGGAGGAGGTAACCGCTGTGGGGAGGAATGACTGGCAGTCACCGCTCTCTGCAGGGATAAGATCGGGAACTGAGCGATCAGCAGTATTGTTCAGCAACACCTGAACAATACCGGCATCCAATCAGATTGTTCCGGTGTTTGGAGAGCCAGCGGGGCCGACTAGCAAGATACAGAAGCTTGGCCCAGCGGGAGATTCCTCCATCCACACAGTTTAGCATAGATGGAGGAATCTGCTGCACTTTTCCCATTTGACCATAGAAAATCTCTAGCTGTATGGCCAGCTTTAGGTATGACTTCATAGCTTTTAAAAAGGAAAAAAATTTAACAGCCAAGCTCCCTCATGAATCATAATACTAGGCACATATCACATGCTTTTGGCTACCAGACAAATCTGCATTATAAAATTGGGATAATATGGCAAACAAGGTAAAGCCATATCCAGAAACTTAACAATGACAACTAAAATTACCTGCTCACATAAACATTTCCATTTTATATCCCCAAAGAAAAATCTTAAACAAAGATGAGCAGCATGTATATAATTTTCTATATATACTGCAGGCTTAGTAACGACCTAAATATTAGCAACTCCTTACCTTTTCAATGTGAACAGTCTCGAATCAATAGTGTCTTGTTTCATCTGAACTTTTTGAGCATTGTTTAAAATTTTAGAGATATCTTCCTGTCTCACTTTAGCTTCTTCAGGTCTTGTGGCGGATACCTAGTAAAACACACATGATCAAATTTACACCAGAAGCAAGCACTGAAGCCCATAATTATTGGAATGTCTATGTGCAGTCTTACCAATTTTATTTGTAGCACATTGTATTGGTAATGTACTGTAAATATCCACATAAACTAAACCATAAAATCAGGGCTGGAAAAAATAATATGAAATTCAGGAGCTAGCCTGTCCATTTCAAGAACCAGCAGGATTATTTTAGTAGTCAGCTCCATTGACAACAACTAGAGAAACCCTCAAAAGGTTTAATTTTTTAGGAGCTTTGGCTTCTGGATTTGTCTAGCCCTGGAATAAATAGAAGGCACCAGGAATACTTCATCATGCCTCTATTCTAAGAAACAATTCTCTGCCAATGTCCTATATTCTAAGAAACAATACTCTGCAGAGGCTCCATTGGACACAGCAACTTTCTGAAGGCAAGCATTTGCATAACATTAAACAGCATCCCACCCCCCACTCTTTCTGGACAAAAAAAAAAAAAATGAGCTCCAAAGTCTATTTTCTATAACCCACATTGGCCTAACAACCATTTATGTGCTGCCAGGTGGCAACACTTCCTACGCCCAACAGTACTCAGGCCTGGAGAGGGGTTGCTCAAGTGCTGTTTTGCAGGTCTGCATTTTACACATCAAAGTCAGAGGGGAATTTATCAAAATTGGAGCAGACAAAATCTGGAGCAGCTGTGCATGGCAACCAATCAGCCTCTCTCTTTCATTTTCAAACCTTAACTGTAGAGAGAGGCTGGTTGCTATGCACAGCTACTGCAGATTTTGTCTGCTCCAGTTTTGATAAATCAACCCCAGAGTGTTTTGGAGACTTCAGCAGCACAGAAAGATGGATTCTGCCAACATTGTAGTGTCCATTTAGTTCTCTGGATTGTAATAACCGTTACCTTTCTTTTGATATTCTCCAGTAACTCATCTTGCCCTTGAATAAAGAACGGATGCTGAAATTCAACTGGACCATCTCTCTCCTGCTTTACAATTCCAGAGTCAACATGGACCACTTTCCTGAAACCATCTAAAGGCATAACAAAAGTGTTGTGGTTAGACACTATAGATTATTATGTCATGTCCCTAAAATCTCAGTTAGTGCAAAAAAGTAACATTTATAACCTTTCCCCACGTCTGTTAAATGGGATTGGTCACCATTATCACAAATCTGTGTTTAAGGTAAAAAAAAAAAATTTGTGTGTGTAATAAAATCAGACATACACACACCCCAAACGTATTGGGACACCCCTCTGAATCATTGGATTCGGGTGTTCCGTGAAACTTCCTTTCTACTAAATATTCCACAATCAACTGTTAGTGGTATTATAACAAAGTGGAAGCCACTGGGAACAACAGCAACTCAGCCATAAAGTGGTAGGCCACGTAAAATGACAGAGCGGGGTCAGCGCATGCTAAAGTGCGCAGAAGTCACCAACTGTCTGCAGAGTCAATAGCTACAGATCTCCTTCAGATTGGCACAACAGTGCATAGAGAGTTTCATGGAATGGGTTTCCATGGCCGAGCAGCTGCATCCAAGCCTTACATCACCAAGTGCAATGCAAAGCGTAGGGTGCAGTGGTGTAAAGCACGCCGCCACTGGACTCTGGAGTGATGATTCACGCTTCTCTGTCTCGCAATCCGATGGACGTGTCTGGGTTGGACATTTGCTAGGAGAACGGTACTTGCCTGATTGCATTGTGCCAAGTGTAAAGTTTGGTGGAGGGGGGATTATGGTGTGGGGTTGTTTCTCAGGGGTTGGGCTTGGCCCCTTAGTTCCAGTAAAGGGAACTCTTAAGGCATCAGCATACCAAGACATTTTGGAGAATTTCATGCTCCCAACTTTGTGGGAACAGTTTGGGGATGGCCTCTTCCTGTTCCAACATGACTGTGCACCAGTGCACAAAGCAAAGTCCATAAAGACATGGATGAGCGAGTTTGGGGTGGAGGAACTTGACTGGCCTGCACAGAGTCCTGATCTCAACCCGATAGAACACCTTTGGATGAAATGGAACACCTTTGGATGAAATGGAGAGGAGACTGCGAGCCAGGTCTTCTCCTCCTACATCCGTACCTGACCTCACAACTGCAGTTCTGGAAGAATGGTCAAACGCCATTAAAGTTCATGTGCGTGTAAAGGCAGGTGTCCCAATACTTTTGGCAATATAGTATGTATGTATATATGTATAGGATGGATGGATGGATAGACAGACAGACAGACAGACATACACACACACACACGTCTCTCTGCATCCCAACTAATCCTATATGACTAGCTGTTTTAAAGGTGAAGTGGAAAGTTCAACTATTTCTATACAGCATGGATTAGAGGATAGAATCTCTTTATGCATCTTCCTATGGAAGATTTCACTCAAATTGCATCCATTACTTTGAGATTCTGTTAGAATCCGTTATTACTTAGAGAATGAACAGCAGCAATTTTCACATTCTTACACAAGATCATGATGGGCAACAATGAGATGCATGAAACACTATCTTGTATCAAATGAGAATATCATCAATTTTATGTGACAATTTATGTACGCATACCACTCTATACACTTACACATGTTTAGTTGCCTCACAAAGCTGGCCATGTTATTGTGTTTGAAGTACTTAGGCAGGATCTCTTTTGCAAATCGTTGTTCATCAAGGACCAAGAAACTCTGACCATTCTAAATAAAGAAATAAATAGGTTACAAAAAATAAAGTAAAGGCTTGGAGGCAAAACATTTACTAATACGAGTCCCTACATTGAGGTAAATGCATGCTTCCAAATATGAACAATTCAGGGTCACAAAGCAATTTTCTCAGGTTTAATGGTACTTGGGATTGATCTGTGACAGCATCACTCTCAAGTTTAATATATCTACAGGTGAAACTCGAAAAATTAGAATATCGTGCAAAAGTTTATTTATTTCACTAATGCAACTTAGCCGCCTACCAGGAGATTTTGGAGCACTTCATGCTTTCTTCCGCAGATGAGCTCTATGGGGATGCGGACTTCATTTTCCAGCAGGACTTGGCACCTGCCCACACTGCCAAAAATTTTCTGAGATTGTGGATCTGGGTTTTCATGAGCTGTAAGCCATAATCATCACAATTATGACAAATCACGGCTTGAATTATCTTGCTTTGCATGTAATGAGTCTATCTCATATATTAGTTTCACCTTTTAAGTTGCATTAGTGAAATAAATGAACTTTTGCACGATATTCTAATTTTTCGAGTTTCACCTGTATATGAACATATTAAAGACAACGGAGGACACAGGGTGGGTGAGAGAGCCCCCATCCTCTTGTAGCCCTATACACAAAAGCTAAACATGTATTTTGCAATCAGTGCAAATGAGAAGATACTAATTAAAGCTTATCTATCTAAATCCAAAAGCAAACATTTTAGAGATTTCAGTTTACCAATTCTAAGATGTGGTGGCTGCATTTGTTTTGTGTTTTAGGCCCTTTTTCCACCTTTATTTTAATCTGGTGATCCAGCCAATAAGTCTGTTATTTTTCAACTTACTTTAACAGACCAAACTGTCCAGCAAAATTGGCAGATAGAGATGGGTGAGGCAACTTGTGTAACTGTGACGGGGTCATCACAATGGTTTTGTGTTTTTTCACTTATCCCCAAAGGAAAAACAAGAAAAACTGTTGTTGTAACTGCGTAAGTAGGGATGCACCGATACCGCTTTTTCGGTATTGAGTACCAATATTTATCTTTCCGTACTCACCACTACTTCGACTGGCACGGAGCCAGTTTCCCAGCCAATCAGCATCAAGCCGGCCAAACAGCAGGTAGGCGGCTTCGCGGCCAAACAGGGAGCTGGGTAGCGAGTCTTGTGCCCTCGCAGCACTGCCGGTCAGAGGACATCTCCCTCTGACGGGAAGTTCCAGTATTGGGGGTAAGTATTGCAGCATATGCCCAAATACTTGGTATTAGCACTGATACAGATACAGGGGTGTGGAATTCGTATCACCCAACGCACGGGACATGTCCCTTGTAGTGGAGGGTGCTCGCAGTGACCGCGGATGGCGCCGCAAATGTCAGCAGAATTGTAGAAATGTCACCAGCACACCAGTCCTTTTTAAGATAGCAAAAGCTTCATTTATTAAAGTTTGACGATGCTATAGCATGATGAAGGGACCGAAAGCGTCTTGTTCATATGACAAAAAACTTCAATAAATGAAGCTTTTGCTATCTTAAAAAGGACTGGTGTGCTGGTGACATTTCTACAATTCTGCCGGGATTGCATAAGTCTGCACCAACCCTAAAAGGGTATATTCACTTTCCCAAGTAATTTGGGAAAATGGGAATTACCCACACAAATATCCCTCCCACTATACTTACCTTTCGGCGAACGGTCCTTCCCGCCCACCAGTACTATCTGTACCTGTTCCATGTATTCTGAATTTCACTCGTAAATTGCAAGCACTGGTTGGTCAAGGCGGTCACCTGACGGCACTGACCAATGAGAAGCGCTTCTTAGCACTGCTAAATACGGTTTTGGTTACAATTATTTTTTTTGTATCAGGACAAGTAGATTGTAATGAGGGACAAGTAGATTCGGCCCCCGCTTTAGTCCTTGGAGAAGTAGTTTTTATTCAAAAATGTCCACACCCCTGAGATACTAGTATCGGTGCATCCCCAGAAAAAAAAAAAAAGTGTTAGCTGGAGTTTGGCTTTAATTTGTTAGAAAAGTCCATCTAAAACGGCTAATGCACTAATTACTACCCCCTCAGCAGGATGACAATGCTGCTGCCCATGGGGGCTCCAATGACCCTCCATAGAGTGGAACAACTTCAATGAACCTTTCACACAGGCTTTGCCTTAAGTTATACTTTAACTGGGTATTTTACTAGCAGTCATAATGTAATCCACTAGTATATGGGTAAGCACTTTATACATATTGTTTTATTCACTTTTAGTTATTTTCACTCACTTTATCCTGGCCAGCAAAGAATAATGTGTAATAATATAGGAGAATAACAGGGTTATTCACAAAAGGGTGAAGAGTTTGGAGAAGGTAGGAGAAGTTAAAGGAGAACTATGAGATGAGTGCTTTTCACTCACCTCATAGTTCTAGCCGACCTGTGACAATGAGACTGTCACAGGTCGGCTCAGTAGATCGGGAGGTGAGGGAACACATACCGGCGTTCGCTCACCTCTCGATCCTGTCACTGCTCTCTGCCATGACAGGGGAGGGGCTAGATTCCCCCCTCCAATCTGCCAGCGCTGACTGGCGGAACGGACGGGGGAGGGGCGGGAACAGCCGGCTCTGCCTCTAGACAGGCAGAGCCAGCTGTCAGTCAAGCAGCTGGGCAGATCCCGGCACAATTGTCGGGATCCGCTTCAGCACCTTAGTATACCGCCAGCAGCAGCTCACGGTAAACTGCGGCATCTCAGTAGCTCGCGGTATACTGAGCCTAGGGTGACGGGAGGACACTAGTTTGTGTCCTCCCGTTACCCTAAGGAAAACTATGGGGAAAAGCCTTAACCCCATAGTTCTCCTTTAACAATCTAGGACAACATAGCTGATTTGGAAAAATTCTCCAATTCTGCTCACTTTACAATTAAGCTATGTTGTCCTAGAATGTTCACTTGTCCAAACGCTTCACCCTTTAGTAAAGAGCCCTGTAAATGTCCTATTTAAGTCATCCAGTTGGCATCCATGAATGTTGTTAAACCTGTTTCATGTTTTTTTTAAATATTAGATGGGAACTCTTTGTAGACATTATGTTTATGTATAGGCAATTATGTGTTGTTTGTAAACCTAGGTCTGAATGTTTCAAGGTGAGAGGAGAAGTTACTCCGAGTTGGAGAAAAGACCTTCGACACTTCTGGTAGTCTCAAAGGTGACACAGATGCTAGCGAATCCCCCCCAGAACCACACTTTGCTTTTTTGATACAATTATCTACATCACTACAGGACAGTGGCTGACAGAAGGAACCAAAGCACACAAAGGGAAAGTACATCCCTCCCTGGTCTCCTCACCCCCCAATTACAGTGCATCCCTCCCTTACCACCTCACCCCCCAGTGACAGTATATCCCAAAAAAAAACAGTTGATTAGAAAGTAAGAACTTTCTTATGACCTGTGGACACTTCCTTCTCAAAATGTTCTCCTCTTAGGACTACAAATCCATTAGTGTCTATGCTTTGGGAAATAAAAATTGAAATTACCGGCCCTGATGTCGGTCTGTGGGGGAATCGGATGTAAAAAGACTTGGGTCAGTTTTGTCAGATAACCCCCAATCCGGCACAATGGATCTCTGAGGTGTAAACCTGCCAAGCGGAACCGATCGGACCACCCATGTAAACATAAACAAGCTGTTAACTCGTGCAGTGGTGGCCCTACTGGAAGGATAATGCTGATGAAGTGGCTGAAATTCATTCAGTTAGGCCTCATTCACACACAATGCAAGAGCAAAATTGTATGCATCTTTGTAAATGCATACAGACGCGTATATGCAGGAACTGAATGCAATCCCAGAATGCATCATTTTTAAGAGAAACTTTAATGTAAACGCATACATGCACACGCGCGTAAACTACACAGAAAATGTCATGACTAGACCCATCTCGGTTATGCAGCGCAAAAATACAGCTCAATACGCAGCTATGTGTATGGAGCTATTTTTTTTTGGCATATGCTGCAGATGGGAAAAAACAATGCCCGCAGCGTATTATACGGCACTGTGAATGAGGCCTCAGTGGCTCTGCTGCCATACTCCCGCCTGACATCCCTCATTCAAAACAATCAACAGGAGCTGGGTAGAAAATTCCCACCTGAACAGTGATTTTAGGTATTTCTGACAGCAGCAAACCCACTGCAATAGCTGCAGTGGGAGATTTGTCCATCCACGCTGATTAGCATGAATGGAGGAACCTGGTAGATTTCATTCAATCCACAAGCCTTTAGGGCTCATTCACACAAACCTGGTCTGCATCACGCAGCTTGAGTTAGGCCAGCCCATTAGTTGGAAGCAGCCGTCAAAGAGCATGCAAGTGTGCTCAGGACACCAACATGCATAACAGGCGGTACTGTGGCACCATGGTATGAGCAGGCATGGGCACAAATACACTTTAAAAATGATATTAAAAAAGGAGAACTATGGGGCTAAGGCTTTTCCCCATAGTTCTCTTTAGGGTAACGGGAGGACACAAACTAGCGTCCTCCCGTCACCCTAGGCTAAGTAAACCAGCTCGTGGTATACCGAGACGCCGCAGTTGAAGCGGATCCCGACAATTGTGCCGGGATACGCCTAGCTGCGTGACTGACAGCTGGCTCTGCCTATCTAGAGGCAGAGCCAGCTGTACCCGCCCCCTCCTCCGTCCGTTCCGCCAGTCAGCGCTGGCGGATCGGAGCAGGGAGGGGGGAATCCAGCCCCTCCCCTGTCATGGCAGAGAGCCGTGACAGGATCGAGAGCTGAGCGAATGCCGGTATGTGTTCGCTCACCTCCCGATCTACTGAGCCGACCTGTGACAGTCTCATTGTCACAGGTCGGCTAGAACTATGAGGTGAGTGAAAAGCACTCACCTCATAGTTCTACTTTAAAAGGTGGATTTTATATGGGGATGTAGTTATTAGGTTCATTTAGTCTTTAAAAAGAGAGCACAGGGCTTACAACTCTCAATTGGCTGACTGAGATATAGGAGCAGTGGACGTATGACACACACACACACACACACACACATATATATATATAGTGCAATATAAATGGGTAAGCCGTATTAGTCCAGTGGACAAGATGTCAAAAAAGATGATTATAATCACTACAGAGCTCTTGAATGAAGTAGTGAGAACGCCCCGGGTGCCCTTACAGAAGGTTGTGGGAAGGAGAAGAACAGAGGCACACATGGCTGGTAGCAGTTGGCATCATGCCTGCACCTGGGCCGCTGGCACAAGATGGAAGCCCGTGCCTATGTGCACACAGGGCATGGGGCGGTTACCTGGCTCCATGTGATAAACTCGTTGGTGTCTGAGTCCTCCACCAGCGTCCACAGTTTGCTCAGGAACGCCGGTACGTTAGAATTCTGCTTCATTGTCCCGAGCTTCGCCGTGCACTGGAAAACACGGCCGCAACGATCGCGACTACTGAAGGATTGCGCATGCGCGAACCGGACGCCTCGCCTACGCTCCACTACGCCACGCCGCCCTGGCCTGACGCTACAGTCTGGTACTGGGAGATGAGACAAGACTGGGGCTGCTCTTTACATAACGGGGACGACCTCACGTGCAGGCACAAGTGGGGGGCGTGTGCTGGAAGTCCGCCAGAGATGATTGGACGATGGGATTGATGTTTAGTAGGTCGCTGACTAGTGACATATCTGAGACACAGAGGACAGTTAGTGATCCAGCCAATAGTCAGGTTTCCTTACATATCACAGTTGGCCCGGCGCGGTACATGGCGGCATGGCTCTCTTATTTATAGATGCTGTGGAGGCGGTATTTAGATTGAAGACCATGTGGTGACTAGGGTGCTGTGTCATTGTGTACACTATAGTACAATGAGTCATGATATCATTAACCAGTTGACATCCGCGGTGTTAAACCCCCTTCCCATCCAGGCCATTTTTCAGTATTCAGCGCTGCGGTACTTTGACTGACATTATAATCTCCAATAGGATCATATTAAAGGACATATAAAGGCACCATCATAACTTTAGGTATTCAGAACAAGAAATAACTATAACAGCTTTGTTATACTACAAACTATTTTCATATTTGTAAAAACATTGCACATCCCTGTCTCTTCAGAGTGGCAGCTGAGTGTTTTGTGGTCTGGGGCATCTCCCACAATGGCTTGCATCATACACAGCTGGGTTCCAGGCTGTAGGGGAGGCTGGCAAAGTAGAGGTGGGTGGGACATTGTGAAGGAGTAGTGAAAAATACAGTGTACTGGTTTCTGGGCACAGTTCTTCTGCATGCATGACTACACTGGGTGTTATTAGACAAGGCAGAAGGAAACGTGGACAAGGACTGTAGTTCTTGGCATCTAAATAAAGCTATATGTGGAGACTAAGATACAGGGTGAGAGATGTGAAATAAACAGGCCTCAGAAAATCTGATTTTTTTGTTTTATGACTTTAGTGAAGCTTTAACCTATTTTATTTAATGGTAAAAGCCACATTAAGTAATACATTTTTTTATTGATTTATCATAAATATCAGCATATAAACAGTAAGCAGCCATTTACATATATCCCTGTACATATGCATATTTCCCCCTTATACATGTCTACGTGTCTTTATAAATGCACTTCCTGGATATCATATTATATCTCTTATAGTGTTATTCTCGCTCATTATGACTGCATACTTTAATATAATTCCTTTATATATCTATATTTACCCCCCCTCCCCACTTACTCCCCTATCCCCCTCCCCTAATACCCCTCTCCTCTGCATTCATGAAAACCTTTAATCTGATATTCTCCGTTATATTTCTATATTGCTTGAAGTGTCTCCTTTTAAGTAGATGTACCTCCTGAGTTTAGTGTCACTTTAAATATTCATGAACCTACTGCTGGAAACAGAAGAGGCTCAAAAGGCTGGTAGTGACCAGGGAAAGTGTTACCGCACACTGAATGGTGGTAAAAGAGCGCAGAGTGTGCATTCGGTGACCCAACACTCAGTTCCTCTGCATTTTTTCCCCTAGGGATAAATATGGCACCCAATGGGTCTAATAAAAAGGTAACTCCCAGTGCTCAACCCACACAGCCTACTCATTAAAGAGTCTTCAGAGGCTGGGTCACACCAGAGGCTGTGCTTCAGCTCTGGAACCTGGAAAGCTCTCTGCGGCTAACAAAGTACACAGAGGTCTGGAAAACACCACACGCAGAGCACAGTGCCCAAAGGTCACTTTCCAGACAGGGCCCACGAGTTCAGCAGAATCCGGATATTGCCCCCAAA